GTGCCTACATGCCCCATCAGAGCGCCTGGTTCAGGTCCTGTCCCTGTTCTGATTCCATCTTCCTGCTAATGCGCACCTGGGGAGGCAGCAGGGGTGGCTGAAGTGCCACCTGCAGGGGAGACCTGGATGGAGCTCCAGGCTCCAGGCTTTGGCCTGGCCCAGCCCTGGCTGCTGCAGGCCTTTGAGGAGTGAATCTGCAAGTGGAGGATTTCTTTGTCTCTCTCTCTGCCTTTGAAATAAAATAACTTCTAAAAAATAAATTAAAAATTGGAGAAAAGTTACAAATGTAATAACCTATTACGTAAAATGTGTCTATCCATATTCTTTTTTTTTTTTTTAAAGAATTATTTATTTGAAAGTCAGAGTTACACAGAGAGAGAGAGGTCATCCATTCTGCTGGTTCACTCCCCAAATGACCGCAGCGGCTGGAGCTGCACCGATCCAAAGCCAGGAGCTTTTTCTGGGTCTTCCACTGCTTTCCCAGGCCATAGCAGAGAGCTGGATCAGAAGAGGAACAGCCGGGACTCAAACCGGCGCCCATATGGGATGCCGGTGCTGCAGGGTGGGCTTTAACCTGCTGCGCCACAGCGCTGGCCCATGTCTATCCTCCTACCTTGGTAAATTTACCCTCATAACAACCCAGAAGACCAGGTATGAATTTAGAGTTCTTGAACCCCCATGGAGAGTAGCTCAGAGAGAGCCAGACCCTGGCTCACTGTCCAGCTCTCCTGTCTCCTCCCCGAGTGACCCACGCACATGGTGGACACTGCAGCCTGCCTCCCGGCGGCACCTGTGGCCTGAGCCCACACTTGATGACTGCACTGTGTAGCAGACCTGGGGAGGAGGACCGGGCAGCCGGATGTGGGCTTGGGTCTGAGAAGCAGGGGGCTCCAGGGGTCCCTAGAGTGCAGCAGTGAGGCTCTGGGAGGGCGCTTCTCCTTGGGCCTTCGGAACCCTGTCATGTGGAGTCTTTCCAATTAGGGTCCCTAGGGCAGGGCCTGCTCTTGGCCCAGGTCCTAAGGGTGGTAGTGAGAAACAGAGATTCTGAGTTCAAAAAGCCCATCCAGTTCCAAAACATTAAAAAAAATCTATGTTGAAATATAGCATTCTGAACATTCTTTAAAATAGCTAGAGAGAAAAACACATTACCTGCAAAGAAACAACAGTGAGAAGGACAGCTGGCTTTTCTGCAGCCAGACGGAGGCTCCGAAACACTAGACTGATAGCTTCAGAGTAGGCAGAGAAGATAACCGTTAACCTAAAATTGTGCCTGTCAAGAACGAGGATGAAATAAAGACGTTAGCAATAAAAGAAAGGAATTTACCACCGAGAACTCAGCACTAAAGGGTATTTTCAAGGTTCTTTGTATTTCAAGAAAGGCGAAGACCCAAGAAGGAAGGCCTAAAATGTAAGATGGCATGAAGTGGATCCAGAGAGAGGCATTAATTTGCCTGAAGATCACACGCAGTTCAGAGCCGAGCCCGGACTTAAAGCCCAGTCGTCTCTTTGTGCCAGACTGCAGGGCTGTGTGCCTGCAGGACCCACCGCCACCCCTGAGCTGCTAAGGTGTCGGTTTCCCTTTCTGCTTAGACCAGCACTTGACTTTCTGCCCTCAGGACGCCACGCTCTGCCTTCCTGGCAGCCTCCCCAGTGCTGCCAGGGACAGGCTCTGGCCAGCTCGCACCTCCAGCTCTGCCCCTTTCTCCATAGCACACCAGGAGCCCTGGCAGGGCAGTACCAACCTGCTTTTCACCTGCCTTTATTGATTTAAGAGAGAATGCTGCTGTTTCCTGCTTCACTCCCCCTTGCCCGCAGCACCTCAGGGCAGGATGTAAAAGCCAGGAGCCAGGAACTCCACTCTGCTACGAGGTTGGCTGGAACACAACTGCCTCAGGCGTTCCCACTGCCTCCCAGGGTCTGCTTTAACAGGAAGCCAGAGGTGGGCGTCCCACCCTGGCACCCTGACTGGGTCGCAGGGTCCTAATCAGTGGTTCTACCTGCAGGCCAAAAGTTGGTCCCTGTCCTGTTGATTTGAATGCTGCCAGCTGTAAGGTCTGTAGCTGCTCACAGATCCAAGTTCTTCAACTTGTGGGCTCAGTTCCCTGGAGCTGGCAGAGTATGTCCTGGACAAGACTGGTGCTGTGCATGTATTCTGCTCACGGGCTTGGGTAGAGTCGTTTCCCCAAAGCCGAGTAAAGACACCTTAGACTGTAGAAATATGTGTATTTCCTGGCCAGTTCTATCATTCGAAGGCCAGATTTCATCAAAACAAATGAATCACTGTTTTTTCTTCCTTCATCATCCCCTAATTGGTTTCCAAAATGAAGTGATTAATGGCTGCGTCTCTCCACTGCGCTGTTTTGATTACAGTCATACCCGCTGTCCTGGGCGACCTGTGGGGAAATACTGTCATAGCTGGTGATCGCGCTAACCGGGTCAGCCGGCCTCAGGAAGGGCGACGCAGATGTGTGGCTACTAGGATGTCTTCAGAGCAGCAGGCTCTTCCTCGTGCCTTTGTCGCCGAGCTGAGGAAAATGACTAGAAGTACTGAAGCTGGCAGGGTCTGGACTCCGCCTTCCTTGAGATGTGCGCTGGTTTGCAGATACGGAAAAGCCCCGCCCTGGGAGCGGAGTTCTGGGCCACAGCCGGTGTGAAAGGCTGGCCTGCTGACCTCCAGGCAGCGTGGACGGTGACTCCTGCCTGCGGGGCGCAGGTTAACAGCCCTCTCACCTTGGTAGGCGGGGTGTGGAAGCAGAGCTTGGTCTGCATGGTTTCCTGGGTGCATCGCTCTCTTGTCCTGGGGCAACTGCTCCTTGCCCTGCAGGCCTGTCGCTGGTCGCCACTTCTCCTTCATAGCACCAGCAGGGAACCCTCACCCTGATAGCGTGAAGTGGCTGTTTTTAGAGTTCCCCTTCAGATGGCACTGACCCTTCGTGCAGCTGGTTTCACTTAATGCGTTTTGTCTAAACAAACCCTGTTCCTGGAAGTGGTTTCGGAATAGTCTGTTCCTTGTAGCTGTTCCTTTGCTCTTATTTCTGAAAGTGTTTGCCCAGCGATATCGTAAGCGCCTGAGCACAGCAGATCAAAAAATTCTGCTTCGAGTTACTGTGCTTGAGAATTGGACTGTGCCCACGTGCGTATATGTACTGGTTGTCACGTTCAGTAGCTTGAAGATTTAAGTGAAGAGCCAGTGTTTTGGTGCAGTGGGTTAAGTCGCCTCTAGTGACGCCGGCCTCTCATATCAGAGTGATGATGCTAGTCCTGGCTGCTCTGCTTCTAATCCAGCTTCCAGCTAATGTGCCTTGGAGGGCAGCAGATGATGGCGCAGGTGCTTGGGCCCATGCTACCCATGTAGAGTACAAGGATGAAGTCCTGGTTCCTGGCTTCAGCCTGGCCCAGACATGGCCTTTGTGGCCATTTGTGAAGTGAACCAATGGATGAAAGATTTGTGTCTCTATTTTTTTTTTTTTTTTGACAGGCAGAGTGGACAGTGAGAGAGAGAGACAGAGACAAAGGTCTTCCTTTGCCGTTGGTTCACCCTCCAATGGCCGCCATGGCTGGCGCACCGCGCTGATCCAATGGCAGGAGCCAGGTGCTTCTCCTGGTCTCCCATGGGGTGCAGGGCCCAAGTACTTGGGCCATCCTCCACTGCCCTCCCGGGCCATAGCAGAGAGCTGGCCTGGAAGAGGGGCAACTGGGACAGAATCTGGCGCCCCGACCGGGACTAGAACCCGGTGTGCCGGCGCCGCTAGGCGGAGGATTAGCCTATTGAGCCACGGCGCCGGCCTCTCTGTTGTTCTGCCTTTCAAATAAATAACTAAATTTTTAAAAGAAAACATTGAAGTGGTACCTGTATTTAGCAAGACTGGCCAAGGTCTTTTGGTGTCTAGGATATATCATGCTTTACAGGACTCTGATGTGTAGAAGCTTGTTAGTGGACAAACAGATAAATTAAAGAATGAGTATTTTTCTTTTTTTTTTTTCTTGTTTTATTTTAAAAGCAGAGTTGCAGAGAGAGAGAAAATGGTCTTCCATCTGCTGGTTCACTTCCAAGATAACCACAATGGCCGGAGTTGCGCCGATCCAAAGCCAGGATCCTCCAGGTCTCCCACACAGGTGCAGGGGCCCAAGGACATGGGCATCTGCTGCTGCTTTCCCAGGCCACAGCAGAGAGCTGGATGGGAAGTGGAGCCTGTGCTCCAGCACCCATATGGGGTCCCAGCGCCACAGGCAGCAGCTTTACCTGCTATGCCACAGTGCCAGCCCCAGAATGAGTATTTTTCACTTTGTAAACATGAAAATTTCCTAACAAAAATGCCAGGGCTGGACTACTTAAGTATTTTTAAGGTGCTACATGAATTTCTATTTGAGTATAGTATCACATTAAAATAAATCTCAAGACTGAAAAGGGGCTAGTGTTATGGTGCTACAGGTTAAGCCACCACCTGTGACACGGGCATCCTATTTCAGAGTGCTGGTTCTAGTCCTGGCTGCTCCACTTCTGATCCAGCTCCCTGCTAATGCACCTGGGAAAGCAGCAGAAGGGGGCCCATGTACTTGGGCCCCTGCCACCCTCATAGAAGACCCAGATGGAGTTCCTGACTCCCGCTTCAGCCAGGCCAGCCCTGGCCATCATGGACTTTGGGAAGTGAACCAGTGTATGGAAGATCAATCTCTCTCTCTCACTCACTGCCTTTCAAATAATAAATAAATAAACAAACAAATAAATCTATCTTTTAAAAAAACACTAGATAGAAATATAAAATAAAATACTAGTAGTCTCTATTCTGACTTTTCTTCCTTTGTTTTTTGAAGATTTACTTATTTGAAAGAGTTACAGAGAAACGGAGGGAGATTCAGAAACAAAGCAGTCTTCCATCCAACTGGTTCACTCCCCAAATGACTGCAATAGCCAGGTCAAAGCCAGGAGCCAGGAGCTTCTTCCAGGTCTCCCACTTGGAAGATCTTCCTCTGCCTTCAGGCACATCAGCAGGGAGCAGGATCAGAAGTAGAGCAGCCAGGATTTAAACTGGTGCCCCTATGGGATGCCAACGCCACAGGCGGTGGCTTTACCCACTACATCATGGCACCAGCTGCCCTGGCTTTTCTTAAACAAACTTGTATTATTAAAAATATTTATGACAGAACTTTATTAAAGTTGGCATTTATAATACATACATGCAACTCACTGAGAACTTTTTGTATAACCATTTATTTTGGTATATTCTCTCGTAGAGTTTATTGTTGTGGTTGGAGAACTTGCCTGTTTATGATTAACTAAAGTGATGATTTGTTCGCCACCTCTTGCCTCTTTGGTTTCTCTACGCTCCCTCAGGGCAGGGACCGTGCTCCCTCTGTGCTTGGTCAGGTGTCAGTACACAGTCACGGTTCCTGGCGCAGGGGACCAGTGAGTCCCTGAGTGAGCACAGGGAGTGTCCACCTCCGGGCTGATGATAGACTGGTAACCTCTTACAGGATGCTTGTGAGTGCCGCACACGTGTTAACTCCGTGTTTACTAAGTCGGGTTGTGACTGCCGTGAAACCGTCAGCAACTTGCTGTTGACCCTCAAATCTTTGTCTGCGTTTGAAAGGCAGCCAGGCATCTTCCACACAAGAATATTTTGTCATACATGAACACAAGATACCTTTCTTTTTTCTCCCTCCCTTTCTTTCTCCATTTATTTATTTGAAAGTCAGAGTTATACAGAGAGAGAAGGAAAGGCAGAGAGAAAGAGGTCTCCCATCCACTGGTTCACTCCCCAGTTTTCCACAATGGTCAGAGTTGTGTCGATCCTAAGCCAGGAGCTTCTTCTGGGTCTCTGACGCAGGTGCAGGGACCCAAGGACTTGGGCCATCCTCCACTGCCTTCCCAGGCCATCGTAGAGAGCTGGATCAGAAGTGAAGCAGCCAGGACTCAAACCGGCACCCATATGAGATGTTAGCACTGCAGGCCCAGGTGGCTTTACTATGCCACAGTGCTGCCCCCAAGATATTTTTCTCCCAGGGTTAGTGCACGCGTGATTCCAGCGCCAGGAGCGTGAACCTGTTCTCAGGCTCAGACTGCAGCAAGAGACCATGCCCATGCCTTTTCCTCTCTGCCTCCTTTCCGCTCCTGACTGAATGTGTTCAGCAGGTCAGGTTTGATGCCACTTCCAGAAGAAACAGTAATAGTAGCAGATGGTTAGGTGTTATTTCTTGTTCTGATGAGATTGTTTTTATTACAAAGATAGTAGTTGCTTATTGAAAAAAACAAAATAAGTAAAAGCCACTTTGTTTTGATGACTCATCTTACCCATAGCAACTTAGTTTGCTGAGTAAGTTCTCTTACACTTTTTGTGTCTTGGCTTTTTGAATGAGACAGTTCTTTCTAGATTGCATTTTGGCAACATACTATCCTATGCCCTTATAAATTTATGTATGTATTTTATTTGAAAGGCAGAGAGAGTGAGAGATCGTCATCAGCTGGCTCACGCCCCAAATGCCCACAAGCTGGGGCTGTGCCAGGCTGAAGTCAGGAGCCAGTGGCTCATTCTGGGACTCCTGTGTGGCCAGCAGGAGCCCAAGTACTTGAACCGTTACCTGCTGCCTCCCTGGAAGTGAGTTAGCGGAAAGCTGGAGTTGAGATCAAAGCCAAGACTCAAACCCAAGCATTCCAGTAATGGTCTGTGCGAGTGTCCAGTGGTGACTAACTGTGTGCCTTCATAGAAGAGTCAGGGTTCTGCTCAGTTCACTTC